AGAAGTCTCTCTATTTGTCTACCACGTAGAATGCAACCTTAAAGATGCTGCCCCCCGGGGCATAGCTTAGTCGTGCAAATGACAGAAGTAAGGTAGTCTTAGCTGAGTTGACAGTCGCAGTATGATGGGTCGATTCCTGCCTCTTACAAGGTATGAAATTGAACTCTTTGTGGGCACCAGCAGACAGCTCTTGTATCCTGACATGTTGAGACATATCCCGCGATTTACCTCATCTCTAGGGGTGGAGAGGTGGGGCACCCTCAAGGTTGGGGTTCAACCTTTAAAAACAATTGGATTCTTCGACTTCAAGAGCCTATCCTATCTTTTTAAGGTAGGCACGAGCACGATTTTACTACATTGTACTTGTATGCTAAAAGAAGTTCAAAATAACGTCATGTCATTATGACTACTATGGCCCATCAACACATTTAATGAAGGCGGCAAAAATTGTAAATTCCAACAAGAAAGATGTAACGAGACACTTTCATTTAAAACGAAACATATCTTATACTTTAATATTGTATCTTTATAATTATAATTATTGCAGCAAATCATCGACCTCATTCATTTCCGAGGTAAGAGTCACGGACAAAGTACGATTAATAAGTTGAAGAAAATTAAAATGATGTCATCTCATTCTGTTCATTATGCTCTCGATCGAAAAATTTCTAGGCACAGTTCACATTTTCATGTACTTTCTTGGTAAATTATATACAAACGGTAGCAAAAACAAGTGTCTCGTAATTATAGTATCAATTTTGAATGAAGAGATTTCCCTTTAAATGCACATAAATATTTTGAATTAATCTTTTTCTTGCTAATTAGGAATGACAATGGGGATTGTGGATGCATTTATCCTTTTAAGATTTTACCCAACTAATCCAACAGTGGTGTTATTATTGTCATTATATTATATTATTAAAGATTGGTTTTGACAGTGGATTACATTTAATTACGGAATCATCTTTTTGGGATTTGATTTACAAAATTTGTGTTTTGTAATAGTGTATTCTTTTATATACATGGTAAGTAAATAATTATCCTTCCCCTATATATTTCTTCCTCCTCCTCCAAGCCAATTCACTCACAAGCCACTACATCCCCTCTTTTTCTCACATACATATTCAGATATTCTAATTTTTCTCTCTATCTCTAGATGAAGAAAGAGGTTGGAGGATGAAGGAAAGGTGAGTTAGGATATGCCTAGCTCCTTGTATGCCCCACGACGAAATCACTCACGATGATGGAGTGGCTGAGTCGGGTGGCGTACCAGGAGTCAAGCATACCAAAATCCATCCACCCTTCCGTCTCCTTTGACCTTTTTTCTCTTTACGGTATGTCATGCATGTTATCTTGTATATTCTTTTGATTCAAAGGTTTGTATCTTACATTATGTGAAGGTAAGTTCGTATGTCCCCCTGAAAGATTTGGATTCATTAAAAAAAGGAAAAACCTAGTAGTGTATATAAAATAAGTATTAATTTACCTTATTCAGTCTTACGTTTCACTAGTTGGTGTTAATAGTGACAGGGAAGCCAACTTTGATCTTGCAAGCATCAGGGATTTTGCTCAAGAACTTGCCTTGACTCCGGTGAAGTTCTTAACGACGGCCTTGAGGCACCGGCAAATGCCCTTTTTGTCATCAACAGATTTTGCGCTCTATGAAAGCTGTTACAGTATGGAGCTGACGGTTTTGCATCTTTCCCGGACCTCCCGGTGGTGAATGAGATACAAGTGGCGGCCTTTATGTCAACAGTGACATGTGGTATGGCTCCATTGCTGAAATGAGCCATGCAGACAAGGAGAGGATGAGGATCATGGAGAAAAAAGGTGTTCTTCATTTTTTTTGCTGATTATTAAGTGACCAAGGAGTTTTAGACTAGTGCACGGTGTTTATATAGAGAGTTTTTGGGTATTTTGACATTGGATTGCGTATGTTGGATTGAATATTTTGCAGGGATCAAACTATTTGTACATAATTTTTCTTACTGAAATTGTTATACCTTTTCACATGTGTGCGGGCCCGCGTGAATAAAAAACTTCCAAAAATGTGGCCCCCACACCCTATTATAAGTGTAGGTAAAAGATTTGGTAAAGAAAATTATGTACATGTAGCAAAATCCATTTTGCAGGTGGTTTCATTCGGTTGAGAAGGATGTTTTGTCTGATGTATGCATTCAAGAAACTGTGTTATTCTAATTTACCAATTGTGCCATTCCAAAACTTGTAATTAGCATAAAGATTTTTAAAATTAGATGAATTTTAATATTTGTATGACAAATATTGTTTTACTATTTTATTTTTTTATATAGTGTTTTCAAATAACATTTCATAATGTGGGTTGACACGATTCTTGTTTTCAATTTTATATAATCTAAGAGCAAAAAATAGACTTGCAACACAAAATTAATTGAACAACGAAACTGTTGTTTTCATCGCCACCAATAAATTTCTCTAGTAATTAAAGCAGCTTTCACTAATTTTGTACCTTTTACTGTTTCGAGTTGAAAATTCACCTCATACAAGTTTTTTTTATGAATAACGCTATTCAAGTAGAATCTCGATGAACTTCAATCTATGTGGTAAAGATGTAACTGTCGAAACATGTACGGAGACTTTCATTTAAGACGAAACATATCTTACTTTAATATTGTATGTTTATAATTATAATTATTTCAGCAAATCATTAACCTCATTCGTTGCCGAGGTAAGAGTCCTGAACAAAGTACTGTTAATAAGTTAAAGAAAATTAAGATGACGTCATCTCATTCTATTCCTTGTGCTGTCGATTGAAAAATGTCTAGGCGCGGTTTACACTTTCGTGTACTTTCTTAGCAAATTATATACAAACTGTAGCAAAAACGAGCGTCTCAGTATAGTAACAATATTGAACGAAGGGATTTCCACATAAATATAAATCTTTTTTTGGCTAATTAGGAATGACAGTGGGGATTGTGGATGCGACAGTGGTGGGATTATTATCATTATATTATATTATTAAGAAGAATGAGATGTGAAATTAAAGATTGGATTGACTGTGGATTACGTTTAATTATGGAATCATCTTTTATATACATGGTAAGTAAATAATTATCTTTCCCCTATATATTTCTTCCTCCTTCAAGCCAATTCACTCACAAGTCACTACATTCTCTGTCTCTAGATGAAGAAAGAGGTGGGAGGATGAAGGAAAGGTGAGTTAGGATATGCCTGGCTCCCTGTATGCCCCACGACGAAATTACTCACGATGATGGAGTGGCTGAGTCGGGTGGCATACCAGGAGTCAAGCATACCAAAATCCATCCACCATTCCATCTCCTTCAACCATTTTTTATGGTAATTTCATATATCATTTTGCTTCAAAAATTTGTATATTACACTGTTGTTTTGATGAATTCCTAGTAATGATGGGACGAGATCTCATCAAATGCCTTCTTGGTATGTTTAGCAAAGCTTGATCATTATGTTTGTATTATGCGTTCAAGTTCTCAAATATCTAGGCGTGAATGATTTGAGAGTAGGGGCGGACCCAGCACTCGGCGAGCTCCCGCTACCGTCCGTGTTGGATCCGTCGAACCTGTGACTATCTTTAAAGATTATTGGAATCCTTACCATTAGGGCACTTGTTGAGTTCGATATTGTTGTTAACAATAGTTTTAATGCAATTGTAAAAATTCGAACTCGAGCTCTTCCTTTGACTTATAACTTGGCTACAATGTCATTTGGTGAGTATTTTTAACTTGTATAAAAAATTATATATGTTCAATTTGAACAAAATAATTTTTATATTTAAATTTTAGGCTTTGATTCCCATTTTTTTTTTTCAAAATACATTTTTCTCTTTTCTTTTCAACTACACAATTTTCAATAAAATAATATTACATGTAAATTCAAAACTTTTCCTTATTTTTAAACACACATTCTCCAGCAAATCACTATTCTAAAATGCTTTTTTTTTTTTTTTTTTACAAAAATGGGTATCAAATGAGCTCTTAATATTTTATTGCCATCGACGGCTAACGGCCGCCCATGTTGATTTAAAACCCTGGATCCGCCCCTATTTGAGAGACTTGATTGATAAAGCAGAACGGTATCAAACATACAACTGGAAGTGGAACTAATCGGTTCGATCTGTGTCCAAGCTATATTTAGGTTGTATAAGAGGATGATTCACCAGTTGGGTCAAGAAAGATAACTCTTTATCGTGGGGATTCTAGCACGACAATGTAGTGGCATTATTTTCTGCACCTCGAAATTTTCCTAGAATGCCAGGCAATCAGAAAATAAAGAAATGCTAGAAAGGACCGATGAGTATTATTTGATTCCAATTTGATTCTTTTATATGGTATATATAAACAATGACAGGCCCAGAGATAAAAGAATCGCGATGAGGAAGAAAAAGAAAAAGGGCAACTCCTACATTGAGGATTTTTTGATATGTTGAAGTGAAAAAGAAATGAGATGTACCGTCATTTTATTATGTTAAATTAAATTTGACGATTATGAATATATTTACTATCGAGATTGGGAGTGAATAAAGTTTATCTACACTTGTTCACAACTTTCTAACGAACACGTTCGACTCTTAAAACAGGATCAATTCAAATGCTCACATGGATGTGTAAGTTTAAACCATCCAATCTCGATATAGCGCAAATAAGTTTATGTCGTGGTCAGGTTTGACTTTATAGGTAGGTCATTCTGACACAGGCAAGCTTTTTTAATTTAAAATAATCAATAAAAAAGCTAAAATAAAAAAAAGAAGGATGTGTATAACTGTTTCAAGAATGGGAAAAAAATCCCTTCCCGCCAAGCGTAACTGCCTAGAGAGAGAGACGCTCTTTCTATCTCTCGCTATCAATTCCAAGAAACCATAGTTTTTTAAAGAAATTCAGCTGCAATTTCACCTTCTTCATCCCAAGAAATAATCTTTTCAGGCAAAACCCTTCTGGAATTTTACTTCACAATTTCAAGAAATCCTTTTTATTAACAAGAATCGAATGGAAGATACCCCGAAACTTCAAACCCATATAGAAATCAAGCCCATTCAGCTCCAAAGGCCAAGAATCTCAGTTGAACTCACTGCAGAAGAACTTCTCAAAGAACAGAAGCTACCCTTCCCGTTCTTCAGGCCATTATCTCAGAGAAAGGAGAATACATGGGTCATTTCTGTTTTCGTGATTCTTCACTTGATAGCTTTTACTGCCACAATGATTATCAATGACTGTTGGAGCAATTCCCATGGACAGTGTGCGCTCAAATCCCTCGGGAGATTCTCCTTTCAGCCTCTCTCTGAGAACCCGCTGCTTGGTCCCTCTGCCTCTGCGTAAATCATTTTCTGCTTTTTCTTGGATATGGATTTTGGTTTTCTTGCATCAATATGTTATCAGATGTGTTAATTTTGAGTTTCTTGAATCTATATGTTAATTATGAGTTTCTTGAATAAATCTACTTTGAGTTTTCCTAATCAACTTGTTATTAATGGACTAGTTCAGGTTTATATATCAATTTGTTATTGATTGGACAACTTCGATCTTTTAAATGGGTTGATTATTATGTTTTCACCCTCTGTTAACACGCATGTCGTTTTAATTTAAGAAATTGTGAGAATGTCGTTATCTGTGTTTGGGCAAGGAAAACAAGTACAATTGTGTGTATATTTTTTTATTATATGGAAAGAAAGGACGATTTTGTTGATTTCTTTATTTTTACTAAGGATTTCTTTCGGCAATTTGGGTATTTTCAGGTAAATGGCTGAATCTAGAAGTTTTGTCTAGTATTTTCTTTTCTTAGTTTCTATTGACAAGGATTTGTAGGATATTTATTATTTCTCAAGAAAAAGTTTCATGGATGTTTTCAATACCTATTATAATCAATTGATTGCTATGAGGAACAAGTTATTATCCACGAATTTTGAATATGATGAAGTAGTTGAACCTCTCCAGTTGAATTTGAACTGCTGGTTGGTTGATTAGTTATAGTGAATTCTACTCCTATGATGCTAAGGATTTTGACATAAAACTGTTTTATTTGGAAATCGTGAGTTGTGTTTTTCTTGATTAACAGAATTATGATTGCTTGGCTAACAACAGAAGTCTTAGATCTTAATGAAGCTTTGCGGTTCACATTTTGGTCTGAATGCTAAAACTAGTTTCATTTGGACGATGCTTTTGAACTTCTACCACTGTAACTGCAACTTCTCCTTCAAAACCTACTTTGATTTTACATTCAAAAGGGATTGGCATCCGTTTATCTGTATCCCCAACAAAGTTTTGCATAATCCCATTTTTTCCTTCTATTTGTCCAATCTGTTATAGTTGAAGAACTGGAAAACTCTCAGCTTCTTGCTGCTTCTTCACGTAAAAAGTACATAATTTACTTACAAGAACTAGATGTGTCTCAGATGCAAATAATTTTGTTCAGCTGAATTTCCACTTACTAAATACAACTAGGCTTGGGAGTCCTAATTTAAGATGAATAAATGTGGTATCTAGTCACTGATAATTCTTCTGCTAATGCAGGCTTGATGAAATGGGGGCTTTACGGCTGAGATATTTAGCAACAGATCAGGATTTTTGGCGTTTTTTCACAAGCCCATGCTTGCATGGAGGGGTTTTCCACCTTATTATCAATCTCTCTTGTGTAATATTTGTTGGAATTCACCTAGAGCAAGAGTTTGGACCATGTAAATTTTTCTGTACTTACTTCATTATCCTAAATTGAGAAAATTCATAACTAATTTTTGAATTGCTTCCCGTTAGTGAGTTATCTTATTGTACCTTTTCAATTTTTTCCTGTGCAGTAAGGACGGGGGTTATCTACATAATTTCAGCTCTTACTGGAAGTTTGGTAGCTGCTCTGTTTCTTCAAGATAGGCCATCAGTTTCTTCCTCTAGTGCATTATTTGGATTGCTTGGTGCAATGCTATCTGGCCTTATAATGAATTGGAAATTTTACTCCAAAAAGGTCCTCGATATTTCTGTATTAGGGGCCCTTTCCTTGCTTTTATCTTCAATGAGACTGATAATTCATCTTTCATTTGATTGCAGTTTGCTACTCTTGTGGCTTTTATCGTGATCTTGATGCTAAATTTCGTCCTTGGCCTGATGCCATATGTCAACAATTTTTCAAACATAGGAGGACTCATCTCGGGTTTGTTTCTTGGTTTTTTGCTCTTATTCAAGCCTCAACAGGGGAAAATTTATCAAAACAAAGGCGGTTTATTCGAATATGATATCAAGCGTTCTGTCAAACTTAAGCAGAAGTTAGACAGACCAGTCTTGAGGAGTATTTCTCTTGTCATCTTCAGTCTTCTGTAAGTTTGTGTTCTTTACCTATTATTAGTTCATTTCATTGGCCTTGCATGAAATCTCAAAGATGTGACATCTCTTCATTATTCAGACTTGCAGGAGTTATTGTGGCAGTAGTTCAAGGCATAAATGTGAACAAATATTGTACCTGGTGCCAATTTATTGACTGTGTTCCCTTCAAATGGTGGAGCTGCAAAAGCGAAACGACACATTGTGAGGTATAGCAGAAACGAGCTTCTCAAATAAACATGCATCTCGAAAAAAATAAATTTAAAAGAAATTGTGGAAAATAATTAAAAAATGTTCCAAAAACAATGAATTGGATGGAGCTAACTATACTTGTTTGGTTGCAGACAATGGCAAACTCAGAGCATTTGACGTTGACTTGTTCCAGCAATGGCAAGTTCAGAGTATTTCCTTTCGTCAGTCTCTCACAAGAAAGGATTCAGGACCTCTGCAGTCTTATATGTTCATAAAAGATTGTGTACCATTAAATTCTCCGGTGCTTTTGGTGTAATGCGTATTGGATAGGATAGGATTAAAGAAGATAGAGAACTTCGTCTGCTGTAACGTGCAATATTGTGTATCAAGAATGCCTTTTCATCTAATCATATTTCTTTTACGTATGAATAAATGTTGTCTTCGCCTCGGAATTCTTATTCTCTTTCGTCTAATGATCCTCTTTTACATGCCTGGCTTTTCTCTTGACTCCATACTGTGGAATGAAAATTATCTTTGCAGGAATATAGAAAGGAAAAACGAGTTCTAATATTCCTCTAGCTAAAAGAATAAAACTGATTTCGGGTCAGGAAAGAACTGTCAAAGAAATGCTTCTTCTTTCCCATTTTCTGGTGCCAAGGTAGTCAGGAGGAAATGCCAACAATACTCCCCTATTTTCATGCAATAGGCTAGTAGCAGTATAGGATGCGAAAATTTTGGGAATATGCTATATTACAATTCATACAGTATAAACTTTCTTGAAAGAACATGTAGAAATCTTGGTTTATATATAATATTTGATACATAGATGAGACAAGAAAGCTGTTAAGTTTTATGATCCCTTCTGTATTGAGGAATCCAAGAAAAACTAATTAGTGAAACAGTTGTTACCAAGGCAGGCATGTGAGTGAAGAGCGTAATTTTAACAGCTTTTAGGGAAATTTGCAGTTATGGTTCTTAATACATTGAATGAGTTTCCTGGATTTTAATTTTTAGCTCGTGAACCTTAAAGCTATTTTGTTAGTAGCATATCTTGGTTTTTACTGGACAATTTTTCTCTTTCTATTGAGACGAGTACGTAGCTCGTGTCCTTGTATGTTCATCTTTAATCTTTAATCGATGTACAGGTAATCTCAGATGCCCCAAAACTGCCATCCTAAGCGGGCGGTGGGATATTAGGGGATTTCTATTATATTTCCGCGGCTGGAATTAAAACCCACAAACTGTGGTCAAGCATTTTCGTTTTTATTCTTTTCTGTCAAACTAAGATTACAAAATTATTCCATTTCTACCTTCATTGCAATTAAATGTAAAAATCCCCATGCACATTGAACAACTGAGTGTATATGAAATATTTTTCTATTAAAAGCAACTTTTGGGTTTCATAAGGGGACAGTGACCTGAAAATGGTATATAATAACTGCCGACTGAAATGCATCAAGACAGCCTACAAAAGTTTCATGGATTTTCAGAATTTTATCCCCGCATATTGGAATTATCGTTCTTAAGCTCACTGTTCTAGAACGTCGAACCAATTCATTGGAATTATCGTGACCTGATAACTTCCTTCCATGCATGTTTGGTTAGATTATACAGTATCTAATGTTTGAGCCCCATTTTGTGTAATAATGAGCTTTGTAACAGTGATTTTTTTAAAAATGTGTGGTTGAAAAGTAGAGAAATATTTTGAATTTGCGTGCAAATTATTTTATTGAGAAAATGTGGTTGAAAATGAGTTTAAGAAAAAATAAGCTTTTAAAAAATGAAGCTCAAACGAGGGCATAATGAACAAGAGTTTAAGTCATTTTTCTTTCTGAGTATGTTTTGTACTATTCAGTTCACCCTACTAAACACGAATGTCAATATCGCCCGCATTTTCCATTCACTTTCCCAAACATGCTAATAGATTATATATTGCACAGGGTCTTAGTTATCTTTTTTCTTTAGTATCATCCAATGTCGTTTGATCCTCCGTATTGATCAAACATGTATATATATACACACACACACACATGTTCGTATGTATATAACCTAATATTCTCATCCTTAAACTTCATCGTTCCTTGCGTTGTGAAATGGACATGGCAAAAACAATTCATCAAACACTATTTTTCCTACTCTTGTTTTCGACTGGAGGGACAATTTCTGATGCAAATCATGATGAATTTGTTCAGTGCATGTCCAGTTATTCTTCAGGCTACCTTAAAACCTTCAAATATTTGCATACTCCTAGCACCCCATCATATTCATCACTCTTGCAATCTGTTGAACAAAATCCCAGGTGGTTGAATTCGACATCTCCTAAACCTATGTTCATCATTACACCATACAGTGCTACTGAAATCCAAGCTGCAATTATTTGTAGTAAAAAACATGGTTTGCAAATCAGAGTCAAGAGTGGGGGACATGACTACGAAGGCCTATCGTTCCTCTGTAGAACCCCGTTTGTCATAGTCGATCTTGTCAATCTTCGATCTATTAGCGTAGATTTGGAAGACGAAACGGCATGGATTCAGTCGGGGGCAACACTTGGTGAGCTTTATTATAGCATTGCAAAGAAAAGTAGTGTCCATGGATTCCCAGCAGGACTATGTCCGAGTGTAGGCATTGGTGGGCACTTCAGTGGAGGAGGATTTGGCACTATGCTTAGAAAGCATGGCCTTGCTGCAGATAACATCAAGGATGCTTACTTGATCGATGTGCAGGGAACTATCCTTGATCGAAAAACAATGGGTGAAGATTTGTTCTGGGCAATCAGAGGAGGTGGTGGAGCAAGTTTTGGTGTCATTGTTGCCTGGAAAATCAAGCTGGTTCGCGTACCCCCGGTGGTGACTGTTTTCACCATCCAAAAGCAGCTAGATCAAGAAGGCACAAAACTCGTTCACAAATGGCAACACATTGCAAATAAGCTGCCAGAAGATCTGTTCATCAGGATTGTTATTCAAGACTCAGATGTAGACGGGAAATCCAAGCAGAATACTGTTGAAGCATTGTTCAATTCGCTGTTTCTGGGACAAGTAAATGATCTCGTTCCTCTGATGGGCAAGAGATTTCCCGAGCTAGGCCTGCAAGCAAAAGATTGTATTGAGATGAGTTGGATACAATCCGTCCTATATTTCACGGGATATCAAAAAGAACAGCCATTGGAAGTCTTGTTGGATAGAACAGTACAATACAAGAGCTATTTCAAGGCAAAATCAGATTATGTTGAGAAACCAATAACAGAAACTGCATTGAAGGGGATTTGGGAGAGATTTCTTGAAGAAAAATTAGTTTTCATGATCATGGATCCTTATGGGGGGAAAATGGGTATAATTCCCAAGACTGAGCTCCCTTTCCCCCATAGAAAAGGAAATTTGTACAACATACAATACTTAGTGAAATGGACCGTCGATGGGGAATCTGCATCAGAAAAACATGTAGACTGGATCAGGATGCTGTACAAGTATATGGAACCATATGTTTCTCGATCTCCTCGGGCAGCCTACATCAATTATAGGGATCTTGACTTGGGGATCAACAAGCAAGGTAATGTTAAGCCACCTCTTTTAAAAGCTTAAGTTAAGAAAGAGGCGACAACTTCATTTATTTAAATATTTGTGTTTCAGCAGGTAACACAAGCTATTCACGAGCTATGATTTGGGGTAGAAAATATTTCAAAGGGAACTTCAAGAAATTGGCAAGAGTGAAGACTCGGGTTGATCCAGAGAACTTCTTCAGAAATGAACAGAGTATTCCCCTGCTTGTCCATTAAGAAGCCAAACAATGCAACAAGTGCGGTGGAATTCATACTAGTGGCTGCAGAGCATCGAGGCACTTCTATGACTTGACAGTGTCCGTGTGCCCAGAACTTCTCTGTAAACGCACATTCTATCTTTTTTTTTTTTGATCAGGTAAATAAATGTGCATAAATTAAAAAATTGAGTACAACTACTTCGGGCCTATCCGGGCTTATAAAACAACCATTACAAAAAATCTAATGACCCAAAGCAAGAGACTCCAAATGAATCAAACATTACAACTTTGTTATATCGAGAACATGAAGTGTTGAATCCCATAGCTAGTTTCTTGAAGAAATATGCACGGAGTTCCCCTTCTTTTTATCTTTTCTGGTTGCTAGGATTCGTTGCTTGTTACGCGTTTTATACAACGTAATTATACCGCAAGTGTTGCAACCAGGGCATATCTCCCAGTGGCAAAGGGGA